ACTTATTATACACATACGCTGGTCTGTCATATGCTTGGATCCAGACTTGTTGTCTGGCTTTAAGTTGCACTACTGCCATTTTGCTGCAAGAATCATACGTTGATGCTTCTACAGAGCGGCAATGGTTATAAGACTTCAGTTTTCCATGAACCATTAACACGGTGACCGATTGTTGGGCTTTTGTTGTCATGAGAGTCCATTCGAACACGTACACACCTGAGTAAGGTGCAGTGAATATACCTGTGGATACATCGTAACCTGTTCCAATGTTTAATTGAACGTCGTCAAAAACAATTTTGCTTCCGACCCGGGCATTATTGATGGGATTCTTTAATCCTATATCGAAGGCCACCATCCTTGTAGCTGTAATGATTAAAATCGTTATTCAGAGCTAGTTCATTTATAGCAATTATGATATAGAACATAGAATGAATCATGACAGAGCAAGGATTTGTGAGTGCTCAAAAAGGCAGTGTCTCTTTTTAATTAATTTCAATGGCCTGAAAAAAGGCGATTTTCGGTCATAAGGAAAATTTTCTTTCATTGGTACTTCACATTTAGTAGAATGCAAAAAAGTATCGTTAGCTTATGAGTTATTGCTTTCAATTCCAAAGATCATTTTTCAATTGAGGTATTATTTCTCAGTGCAATCAAAATCATTTTTCTAAAATTCTCTTGAACCTGTATTTTTTTTTGGTCGCCTGCAGAGCAGAGCGACCACTTAGGGATTACTTTCCTCTGTCTGACTGTCACCACACCTTATATCCTAAGAACTGTACGAGGAATGGATTAATTTGATATTTTAATTCGCACATATTTAATTTCTTGGCACAACGGCTTTTTTAAAAATACCATGGTTACCGACCTTGTGCCCCTTGAACTTGACCTTTGATCTGCTCTTCAAAATACATGTAGTTCATAGGTTGTTACATTAAAAAGGTAAGTCTATGACTTTAAGCATGTCCACAGTTTGTCATAAAATATGAAAATACCAGCGTTACAATTCCCTTGTAATGAAAAGTTAACATAAATTTTTAATGAAATAAATTAATTACTGAGAGATGGTATGATACATGTAGATTAGCGAAAATGAAATCTGTTTACTACCTCTTTCATCCATTCTATACTTGCACTGCTCTCTGAAAAATCCCACTGCCTGGCACGTTTGTGCAACTCTGGCGTAATCATCTCTAAATGATTTCAAACCTGGACCTGATGAAGCCTCGGCAGCGCCAGTAGAGGTGTACACAAAAATCATCAGATATAACATTGTGAAACTCATTCTGTTAAAGCAAATCTGTTTGGAAAAAAATAGATAACTCATTATGTGAAAAAAAAAACAAATTAAGCCCCACACTGGACTGACAGGGCTCTTATATAGGATACACATTCACAAGAGTCATTGAATGACTGACAAAGAGAGCATCATGCATCTCTATCAGACGGTTAAAAGACACTTTTTCATCATACATGTTCTGTATGTTACAGCAAAATTTAAATAAAAGTGAATTGTAATACCTTTTATTAATAGTAATAGTTTTGTGGAACATGTACAGTGTATATTATTGAAGAATTCTTCTTTCTTAATTTAAGTATTTCATTGGTATTTATTCTTGTTAATGACATCAATACCTGATTTTACTGTAGTGTGAAGTCGTCAACATTCAGACTTGTGGCTGCTAGCTTGCATTCTGTTGGCCAGGGATATTTAAGCTGGTTGGTGCAACATATGATATGTAATACTATAGGAAATGAGAGTTGTCACGAACATTGTAATTAAAATGAGATTGGTCACGATTAGTATATTTTTATTTTGTCAGAAAATATAAATACCCTGTATGTTTGTAAAAGAGTTGCGCCTTTATATATAAAAAGAGAAATAAAATCAAGTACAAAGGCAATGAACGTAACATATGGTATGGTACATGTCAAACCAAATAAGACCTAAGACTAAGTTGTATTTACAAACAAAGTCATTATTCAGCTAGAATTTGCGAAAAGCTGATTTTAAACGGGTTATTGAAGCCCTTGTTACATCAACTTATTTGTCAGTAGTTTTCCTCGGTTTAAAAATTGATCATACTGGGAGCATTGCTCTTGCCTACAGAATCAGTTTGGAGTCATTATTAACACCATATGCAGGTGATGTTGTAATATTACTACATTAATGAATAAAGTTGACAGTGGAAAAGTAGAAGTCATTCCGTTTGTTATACAGTTTAGCAAACCGTTTTTGGACATAGAACCGTTACTTTGAAATTCACTTGTAAACACTTATGTACGCATTTTTAAAGGTCCTTTTGAGCTACATCTTTTGGGTTTCTTGAAGCCATATCACAGTATTTGCACTGTAGTACTTTTGGAAGCTCTTAACACTGACATGTTTTTTGGACTTTGAGAAAATTCTATCATATCAAGGTTACATATTGAGCTTATTTAGTTCATTTCAACATAGGGTACAAGTCATATTTCTCTGGGAAAACGTTCAAAAATGAATTGCGAAAAATCCAATTTAAAAAATGTTTTATGAAAAATACAAAAATTAGAAACTAAGAAAGATGTCAGGGGCGTTTGTAATTTATTGCTACATTATTGACTAGAAAATTTAATATGTACATAATAAAAGATAGTCTTTGCCACGTTCAGAATGTTTCTCAAAGCACACCAGCGCTTCAAGGATAAGAAGATCGAGCAGAATCTCTAAGGCATTTAAATGACTCTCCAATTTTTTCTTTCTTTTTTCTATCCCCCCCCCCATTTTTTTTTAAAAATTACACTAGACGTGATTACATGTATCTTTTTTCTGTGGTCCAGGAATCCATCTGACTTTGTATTCACCGATCGACAGTACAACAAAAGAAAACAGAATTGCTTTGAGAAACCTAGAATTCCACATTTATTTAACAAATAAATTGTTTGAATATGTGAGCATGAAAATAATAGATAATAATAGACATTGTTTTTCATCTATGAAAAGCATAAAAAAAATCGTTGTGCTTTTCAGATCGCGTATAAATTTGGTTTTTTTTCCGAGCGTAAAATTCCCGCAGTATTTGTAGTAACCCATAATGCAATTCAACTCATTCAGCTGATTTATCGGTTTTAACTCACGCGTTGGTACCTCGTTTAGCAAGTAAATTTAGTCTGGTCTGACGCCAGAAAATATACATATAGTTTCTATGCAAGCAGGTTTGTCCAAAAAGAAATTTTAATACATAACTGCAGAAAGTAATGCCTTAAAGAAGACTTATTGAAGTTTGAATAAATTCTAGAGAGATTAAAGTACATTTCTACTGAAACATGTATTATACAGTGATGAAAACTGAAACGTAGCATAACTCTCTGTTTACCATTCCCTTCATGCTAGTCACTTCCTAGCTACACTTCTACAAATAATTTACCTTATCCGTTAACAGTCTCGCTGTAGTCTCAGTAAATCTCGCCAGAGCCTCTGCGAACTCCTCAGGTATTATAATTTGCAAAACACCGAAAAATCCTATAGTAAAAGATTCCGAACACTTTAGTAGGGGATGGTAAATTGAGTGAATGCACCATGCACACTATTGTTGTGTCGCATATGTTGTAATGATTTATTTAATACTAGCAGAGGCCTTCTATACTTTGATGTTTTGAACTATACATGTATATAGTAATTAACATTAGTGCCACTCATTTCGTGCTTGTATGTTATTTTGTTGTATCATTTGCATTCATATACCCCAGTTGTGGTTTTTGTCTTAAATAAAAACTTGAAACTTGAAACTTGTCGCCTGCAAATCAAAGCGACAGTTAGGAATCACTTTGCCCGGCATCTGTCTAGCTGTCTGTCCGCCCGTCTGTCACACATTATATCTTGAGAATTGTGAAAGGTATGAATTTTATATTTGGCATATGTTTTGTTTTGAAGAATACCAGCGTTACCGTCCTCGTAATATTTGAACTAATTGACCTTTGACCTGCTTTTCAAAATACATCATAGTGCCGATATACACATAGTCTTCGACTTTATAGAGGTAAGCTTGTCCTGTTTGGTAAGTGCACTGCTTGTCATAAGCCGTTGAAGAAAAGTATTAGCGTTATGTACAGTACTCTAAACCGTTGTTCATATGAATTTTGAGAAATATGGCCTTGTTTATTACCTACTGACATTTTCTTTCAAAAGTATCAGTGACTTTAACTACACAAGTGACTTCTTCTTGTAATGTAGTTTGAAAAGTCGACTCTTATTTCAAAGACTTTTGGTTTTTTGGCCAATAGCATGTATTTTATTTATTTGTGAGACACATAATTTGTTTTATCCTCCATGCGATCAATTATGAGGTATTTCCTAATGATACTTACCAGAACTCTCGTTTTTTGTTGTCTGATACAATATGTTTCGTTGTGAGGCTGATCATACAGAGTTATCCTTCTTTCTTCCTTTGATATAAAAGAATTTGTCCAAAAGTAAAGTTACAAACCTAGCTTAATTAACCATTTATATTTAACTAAATTAACATTGACACATTTTGTAGAGCGTAGATCGATTCAGTTCTGTAACAATTGAGAACAAACAAGTGAAAATACGTTTATTATTACCATTCAGAATTTCAGAAAAACAAATCTCAGCATTATTAAAAGACATGTAGGATAGTTAACGTTAAAGAGAATTCCATAAGTATACACAGGAATTAAGGTTTTCATTATGGTGAACGAGGGAATCTCCCTCCCCCATGCACCTCTCTCTCTCTCTCTCTCTCTCTCTGAGCTACATGTATACATATCTGACTCGCAATTATGCTCACGACATGTTTTTCCCAATATGTCATACATGTAGTATTGTACTTTTCAGCATAACATTTGTTTTTTTATTTTGTTTTGTTTTGTTTTTTTTCTTTACAATTATTTCCTCCAAAATACTTAACAATACATAACAAGTTATATCCAGCAGGCAAACAATTCGTTCAACTTCGGATACCTTTTTGTCTTACCGTGTGTAAGTCATCATTTCCTCATCACTAGACACACAAGCTGTGCTGTCGAGTAAATTACCTGCAATTCCCGATATTAATAGCGGGGCGCGTGAGCGGATTTTACCAGGGGTGCTTTATTAGATTTTGCACGTCTGTTCAATACCTATCGTCTATAGCATTGATAAGGGGCATATGATTAGTGACCCCCATCAGTTATAAGTGCCCTCCCGTCGCTGAGCATGATGACTGCATGTCCATTACATGAAGGATTTTTTTCGTAATAATGTGAAAAGTGGACATTATACTTTAAGAGATGAAAAGTGAAGTCGGGTGAGTACAAAGTTTTTTGCCGCTACTTTTCCCCCTTAAATTCTTTTCTTTTTCAATTAATAACTTAATCTCATATATCACCTGTTACGTGGAAATATACAAGGTTTTACATGTTAACTTATACTTTTTACATTTATATGAATAAGTTACCTCAATAAGCAAAAAAGACATTTATATAAGTGCTTTTCAAACAAAATAAAAATTATTAATTTTTTATTATTTTTATCTTTATTACAATAATATAATTACATGTACTAGAATTAAAGAAAATTGGGACGTGTAAACAGAAAAGCAAACATTGAATAAGTCTAATCTAAGACGTCTTTTTTCGTTGACGTAAAACAACAGATTTATTTGCCTTGTTTACACAAAACATAAACAAAACAGACAGATTCTATTACGAAACATGCAGGATACAAGGTTACAAATGGAAGAGGAATGAAAGATGTTTTAAATTCTCAGCTAGTAATTAAAAGAAATGAAGATAAGCTTTTCTGTAAGTTAAGCGCAGAATTAGCAAAGTGTGTTTTATTTCTGATGCCGATGACGCACGCGCCGGAGGTTTCCCGGCGATAAAAGATAGACAAAGATTGTAAGATTATTCATCATCTATTTCACAGTGGTTCTCAACAAACCAGAAAATTGTTAGCATAGCTGGGCAATGTTTTCATGTCATTTACCTACTTCCCAAATAGCGTTTTCTTTTCTTCTTTTTTTCTTAATTTTTCTTTGTACGTGATTTTATGAGATAAATTATTTTGGACATTTTCTCGGGGGGGGGGGATGGGGGGTAGTGAAAGAGGTTGATAATTTAATTCTTTCTCTCGTTGTTTGAGGTGGTGGGGAAGGAGGGCTGGGGGTAAGGAATACTAGTATAGTTATTGGTACAAAATCAAATTACATGTACATACTGGAATATAGTTTAGATTCCTTTTAAATTTGTTAATATACTTTGCCCATTCTCGCGAACGAAAAATAAAGAACCAGCATTTTGATCATTTTTTAATAACACATTACTGGGAGTCTCTACATTTAAGGTTCATAAACCCTCTGCACACTCATAGAAAATGTTGCTTTAAAACTTATGATTTTCCGAAAGAAATGAATTTTATAAGTAAAATACAAATAATTATATCATACCTTGCTTGGCAAAATTAAACCGAAAAAATAAATAAATAAATAAATAAATAAAATCATAAATTTCAAATCTATAAAGGAAAAATAGACATTTATGTCATTAAGAGTTATCTCTCTTATCAGAGTATCAATGAACCTTAAATTATGATATTCAATTATTTAATTAATATTTACGAGTGTTCTCAATTTCATGGGTTAGTAGACCTTGCTAGATCATATAAGCATATGATTCTAAAGATATTTCATTATCTATAAATAAGTTTGAGCTTCTTGATTTAATAAAGTCAAGATACATCTTCCTTATTTAAGTAAATGTGTTTTGAGAATTTACAAAAAGCAATTGAAACACATTTAACAATTTTACTATTTCTTTTTTCTTACGAAAAAAAAAATTATTTTTTGCTCACCAAGATCAATGCATATGCCCGTAGAAGGATAAAGTGATTACTCATTTAATCCTTTGAATGTATGAAATACTCAATGAAGTAAATACTCATTTTTAAAAAATTATATATTCTATGCCACAGGAAATTTTTTACCATGTAAAATGATGACCAGCATTAAGACAGAGCTGAGGGATTCAGACTTTCGAAGTATTTCAACAATTTTTCCCGCTTTAGTTTCGTAATGAGTGACCGTTCATATGTACTCATCATTGAGTGGGACGACACGAGGTGGAGCTGGCGTGTGCACGAGAGGCGGCATTGGCGGATCAAAGATTTTTTCACTCGGTATTCTACGATTTTTCTTCTGTCTGAATGCACATCTTTTTGTGGCGGATTCAATATTTTCCCTTCAACACACCGCTCCCATGTTTGCACATTAACACACAAGACATTTTCGAAGAAATAAAACATTACTTGCGGTTAAAGATAATTTTCTGGAGTGCAAAACCTGTGCAAGCAAAACTTTGTTTCTAACGAAAGATTAAATATTCTGCAAGAGTTTCAAAGAATTTTGTTATTCTTAGTTATATTTTTTTCAAAATCTGCGATACAATCGATATTTTAGTTGATTCTATCACAGTCTCTCCAGAGTGTTTAACGATACCCAATCTCTTGACTCCTAGATCTCTATATTTTCACTCTTATTTGATCCGGCAAATGTCTGCCTCTTTACCCCGCCACCACTGTCTCTCTCTCCCACATCAAAGCGATCCTCAGCCATTTTATCAATTCCTGCTTATTATGCTATCTCTTTAAGCGGTGTATATAATTAACCATTCACTCACAGCGATAAGTGGTTCTTATCGTTATATAATCCTTTTTCTGTTTGTTTCAGCTCTTCACTGTTTCTAATTTAAAGTTTTTGCCGTGTCTGCCGTATAAATAAATAGCTGAATTAGCCCACTTCTCATTGCTTTCCTTTCTGTAATATGAACAAATTATAAACTACAACGAAGTTACTTTTTGATACTTTGTATTTAAAATAATTATTTATTCATATGATGACACACATTCTTAATATATCAGTAGATTTAATAGATTCGAACTGGGTATTTTTTTCCTCATCAAATATTTTTAAAATTCGCCACTTTTAACCATCTTCATATTCATTGATTAATACATGTACGAATGTAACAGAAGATACTTAGGGAATAACTGTCGCGTTTTTGGTTTAAATTTATGTTGTGATCAATCAGTTTGCTCGTTTGATAATTTGCATAAACACCAAAGGCGTTTTTGCATAAAATTATCACGTGAGCAAACCGATTGACCATCATCATAAAAGAATTTAAAAAAAAAGAAAAAGAAAAGAATTTAAAAAAAAATAATAATAAGTTTCTCTTTATATTTCCATTTTTTACTTGATCCTTGATTCAATAGCAAATATTTTTAATCCATGATAAGAAATACCCGCCCAGTGTATTACTAAGCAACACACAGCGAGAAAGCATGCAGTTATGTCACGTGCTGAGCAAATCACTTCATGGGGATATATAACGCTATTATTTTATTTGTAGCTTTATCTCGGACAAAGAAATTTGAAAAAGTAAATATTTATCGATCATTTTAAAATGGAATACTTAAATGTTGGCCAAGAAAGGCAAGCAAATGTTAATTAAAAATGCATTTTACTAACAACGTGGAAGATTTAACTACATCTCAAGAGCAAAGGTCAAAATTGGAAAAATCAAATAGATCACAGCAATCATTGGATGTCCGCCCATTGTAAGTGATTTACACGTACAAGACGTGTATTCCATGACGCAGTATTATATCCTAATTATTTCACCAGGCTGCAGCTAGCAGCCACTATATTACCACCATTGCTTCAGCAATTACATTTTTAAAGTAGCGTAAAGCGTTAACGAGAATAGCACGTGCGCGCGCGTGCAGTACCTCATTTGACCGATGTGCATGATTAAAGGGCTGATAATGACTGTATATTAGAATAAAAATCTTTGGATTATCTGTAAGAGGGGTGTGGTGTGATATAAAATTTTGAACGGTTTGAACTTCAATGATATTATGTAGAATTCAATGATATTATGTAGAATTGCGATAAGAAGATCATATTTGAATTTTGTTTGGACTGACGTGCGGTTTTCACACCTTTTTTGTAAATCTTGACAGTTATGATAGACGATTTATTTTTATGTATATTTTATCAAAAATAATCACAGAACTTTGGGGTTTTTTAACGATAAACTTATAAGAAGAGTTTATTTCAGCTTGGTTTACCTTTAGCATAATTATATTTGTAAACGTCGTTTACACTTATGTTTGTGTGCATAAAAATAAATATTGTATCAATATACAAATGTACAATAAATATCATGTTTTAATATTTGATGATGGGGTAAACTTCCCACTGGTATCAGCCTCCAAAGATGATTTATGACTGACATTTGATGAATGAATCTGTCCGATGTTTTCGACTATGTGTACAAAGTGGCCAAGAATAATGGCGTTTTGCATACCAAAGAAAATCTTCAATGCAATCCATGCACGAATCTTGGGGCATGGTGATGGGGGTTGGAGTGCCCCCCGCCCCTCGCCACATGTGATTTTCAGAGTTTATTTAATTTGTAAAGCAATCAAAAATTTTCCTTTGACACCTCTAGAAAACACGCACACCTTGTAGAATGGTAATGAGTCATACATATGAAGGAAAGCGATTTGTCGTACCCCCGCACTCTCTCATGAAGTACGTTTTTCTGATTTTGAACAAGTTGGTTGTTTATTTATTTATTTTTCAAAAAGATTCTGAGTAGACTTTTTGTTTTGAGATCTCCACTGTTAGAGCTATACTAAATATTATAGACAGTATATCCTTATCGTATTTTATAGACGGACACTGTTTGACTTTCTCTGTTATCTTTATTATACAGTTGACTTCGGTATGTCGAACACCGGTATCTCGAATACCATGAATATATCGAAGTAATTTGGTAGTCCCAACCGCTTATTCTTTAAGTTATTTACCCTTGATATCTCGAATCCTCGGATAAATCAAATACTTGTTCTAGGTAACGTCGAGTTCGAGATAACGAGGTATTTTGTATGCTGTCTCCAATGAATTTTGTGGGCGACCTCCACCCTTAATTATTATCTCCATCCATAGTTTTATCGTCTCGATTGTGTATTGAAGCGGATCTCCACTGTTTTATATTGTTCGAGCTAAATCGTATATTGTAGAAATATCTTTCGTATATTGCAGGCGATCACTAGACTGGTGGTTGTAGGAGATAACAATTTATTAATTGAGTTATATTGTATATTGTAGACAATATCTGTTTACATTGTAGGCGATCACTAGCCTGGTGGTTGTATTGTCGACAATATCGGTTGTATATTATAGGCGATCACTAGCCTGGTGGTTGTATTGTAGACAATATCGGTTGTATATTATAGGCGATCACTAGTCTGGTGGTTGTATTGTAGACAATATCTGTTGTATATTATAGGTGATCACTAGTCTGGTGGTTGTATTGTAGACAATATCGGTTGTATATTATAGGCGATCACTAGTCTGGTGGTTGTATTGTAGACAATATCGGTTGTATATTATAGGCGATCACTAGTCTGGTGGTTGTATTGTAGACAATCTTTTGAATATTGTAGGCGATCACTATCCTGGTGGTTGTATTGTAGACAATATCTTTTGTATAAAGTACTCGATCACTAGCCTGGTGGTTGTATTGTAGACAATATCTTTTGTATATTGTAGGCGATCACTAGTCTTGTGGTTGTACTGTATACAATATCTGTTGTATATTGCAGGCGATCACTAGCCTGATGGTTGTAGGAGATCAGAGTTTATTATTTGAGTTACATATATTGTAGACAATATCTGTTTACATTGTAGGCGATCACTAGCCTGGTGGTTGTATTGTTGACAATATCTGTGGTATATTGTAGGCGATCACTAGCCTGGTGGTTGTATTGTAGACGATATCTGTTGTATATACAGGCGATCACTAGACTGCTGGTTCTATTGTAGACAATATCTGTTGTATATTGTAGACAATATCTGTTGTACATGTATATTGTAGGCGTTCACTAGCCTGGTGATTATATTGTAGATAATATCTTGTGTATTGTAGGCGATCACTAGCTTGGTGGTTATATTGTATACAAAATCTGTTGTATATTGTAAGTGATCACTAGCCTGGTGGTTGTAGATCACAGTTTATTATTTGAGTTATGTTGTATATTGTAGACAATATATGTTGTATATTGTAGGCGATCACTAGCCTGGTGGTTGTAGGAGATCACAGTTTATTATTTGAGTTATATTGTATATTGTAGACAATATCTGTTGTATATTGTAGGCGTTCACTAGCCTGGTGGTTGGGTCTAGGTCTACTGTCTGCCACTCTAGCATTTCTGTATTTTAACGGATCAAAGTCCAGATCAGCTCTTCCAGACAAAATCAACGCCACTTATGACTTCGTTATAGGTATGAAGATTTTATAGATGTTCTAATCATTTCATAAATTATTATTTCAAGTCTGTCCTGTGTTATAATTTTTAGTTGGAGGAGGTACCACTGGCTCAGTGTTGGCAAGCCGTCTGTCAGAGTCCCCGGATGTGACGGTTCTACTCCTGGAGGCCGGAGGTCTAGACTCCGATCCTGACCTCAGGGTCCCACTTCTTTCCGCGCTTGAGCGGAAATCAGAGCATGACTGGAAGTTCATGTCAACTCCACAACAACATGCCTTCAGATCTTTGTCTGGAAAGGTTATAGTTGTCTTCTAATGTGTGATGTCTAATCAGTTTTTGATAAGTCTGTTTTGTTACCGTGAATCAAACGAAATGAATTTGGAAATGTAGGTCAAACTTGTCGACTCGCTTCAAACTTTTAATGTCGCTAAAATTTGTTTCTTTCTTCATTCCGATGGAAAAAAGGCTCAGCCTCTGTGGATTTACGCAAAACGTTGAAAGTATGATCTAAGTATGTTAAGAAATGACATGTTACAATAATTGCTGCATAATCTGCACGTGTGGCGAAAGAACATGAAAAATTACAAAATGCAAATTGTTTTCAGTTTTGTTGAACATCAGTGTAATTATGCGGGGTTTTTTTCTACAGAGGGGGCGCTACAACATGGGACGGGTCCTAGGAGGAAGCAGTTCCATAAATAACATGGTATACTTAAGAGGAGGCAGCACTAACTATAATGAATGGGAGAGAAATGGGGCCTCAGGGTGGGGCTTCCGTGACGTCATTCCATACTTCCACAAGCTAGAAGACTTTCGTATTGAAAAATTCCAAACTTCGGGTATATGCATTGCATTTACAGTCACGGATTTCATAGAAGAGTCCAGCAAAAGTTTCGAAAACTGAATTCGCCAGTGAAAATATTAGAGTAAAAGTTAATTCGTTCATAGGGTGACGGTTAAAAAAGTAGAAAACAGATACTTTTTAAGGATCGAGTACTTTTTAACAGTTTTTTTTTAATTTAAAAGAAAATTAATTTTAATGTGTTTTAAAAAAAATCTATTTTCTTTTTTCCCCAAAGATAGCTATTATTATAACCACTTTGCTTACTTGAGAAAATAGAGAAGATTTTTTGATCAATTAAGTTGAAGGACCAATGCATGCAGCTAAACACCGTAATTTTACACCTTATCTTTTTTCGCTATTATTCCTCAAATTAATTCAGAATACAGTAAAAATTTTGAACTTTCTTTTCTGGAGCAGCATATCATTCCACAAAAGGACCTGTAGTCATCAGCGACGGATCTCAACATCACCCACTTCTTCACGACATCTACCAGAAAGCGTCAGAAACATTAGGGAGTAAAGTCACAGATTGTAACGGCAAGGACGCCATAGGCGAGTAACGTTTACGTACTTCACATTTACTGTAATGGATTGTGAAGAAAACGAACAGTGATCCTGCTCAAAAGTCCAATTAAAAAACACAAATTGTAAGCAGAGCAAATATGGACCTCTGAAAACAGAGGTGGACTCAGGTGCCATGGAGGAGTAAGTGTGACAGAATATAACAGGAGTGTAACAGTTATTCTATTTATGTTATCTAGAAATCAAAAAAGTGTTGCACACCTACAATTAATAAGGAAGACAATAAATGAAAACTACTTTTATTTCTACTGTGAGAGTTACATGTATATGTACATGTATTTAGCCAACAGACTTTTTGGTAATTAAGGCTGGAGCAGTTCTTAAAGAATCTTTAAGGAGGGATATCTCTATACTAGGAAAGATTTTACCATAAAATTGTTGCATCACCCCCCCACCCCCACCCCACCCCACACCCCCCACCCACCCCAAAAAAAGCAATTCGTCTTCAATGATAATTTTTCTCAAATATGCCCCGTATGGTACATGTTGTAAACTGTCCTTGAATATTAAAGAAAAGGGGGAATTGCGGTTTTATGTATGGAAATATAGAATAAAGGAATTGGAATGGGTCCGAAAATTGAAAATAAACTTAATAGTCCTGAATGTATATACAAGCGAAAAATTATAAGGATCGATGTTTCAGTTGCAATTGTACAAAAAAAGACTGCATTTCATTCACTGAGACAAGGAACAGATATGTTTGCAGGTTGTTAGAATGGCTTTAGCTTATAACAAGCATTTATTACTGAGTATCCGGTTTCAGGATTTTGCTCCAACCCTTCGCTGTTGGACCGCTCTAGGCGGGTGAGTACTTCCTCTGCGTACCTAACACATGCCATGGACAGAAAGAATCTCCACATCGCCACCTACTGCCACGTCACCAAGGTTTGTACAATGAGCAAGGTTACAGCAAGATGTTCATCTCATTGTTAATTCATTCCTCATAAAATTGTTGCATAATGCTTCAGAAATTCTGCACTAATGATTATTAGCTATGATACCGGTAAAAAAAAATTCAAGCAAGTACATAGATTTAAAAAGATGTTTTTCTATTTAATGATATTTTGATTCCAGATTCTAATTTCTAACGGTAAGGCGTTAGGAGTCGAGTACCTACAGAATGGAAGGAGAGAAGTTGTGGGGGCCACTAAAGAGGTGGTATTGTCCGCAGGAGCCATTGGGTCCCCCCACATTCTGCTTCTGTCAGGGGTCGGGCCGAAGGCTCACCTAGAAGAACACAAAGTAAGTTAAGATCCCGAAAAACATGGATATAGTAAACAATCATTATGTCTTACTGCAAATCTTGAATAGACGTTTTGAAGTAGCATGTTTGAGGGTGAATGTCTCACTATAAATCAAGTATTTCCCAAGTTCGAAGTACAGGGTTCGTCATGAGCTATATGTCTTCTTCATTTTGACCAACCCTACTCTATAAAATATTGTTTTATATAATGTAGATATAGGTGGTGAAATTGTAAGAGGACAAATACATACATTGTGAACCTGTGCCCAATGCCCTCACTGCAAATTTAGACCTGTACTTCGCACTTGGGGCCTTTGAACAGCGAGGGATCTTTTTCATCTCAGCATCCCTGCGATATAGGACCTCGGTTTAAATGGTCTTATCCGAAGGACTGGTCTCCACGTTCCGCAGAGGGATTCGAACCCGCCACGCAAGGATCAACTCCAGACCTTATACTCCGCGACTCTAGAGCAAACGCTCCGACCACTGCGCCATGTGGGCGACCTTATGATATATTTTACATCTTTATGACTACAAAAGTTCAAGAGGGAATATGATTCCTCTCCTATTTGATTACTGCATATCTCATAGGAAAATATTTCCGCACTTTATAAACTTTATGATTAACACGACGTGTTCTTTCCAAAACAGATTTCGGTCCACTCTGATCTTCCAGTAGGAAACTTTATTCAAGATCACGTGATGTTTCCAATCCGAGGCTCCATAAATGAATCCTTAACAGTGACCTACCCAAGGTCAACCAGCGTTCTGGCAAAACTAAAGTACAGTTTGTTTGGGGGAGGTAGGCTATTTATTGTCGGAAAATTTAAGAAAGAAAACAAAAACTACATTTAAAATGTGTTAGTTGCAATTGAATACGGTCTTGTTTTGTTCAAACTTCAATTTTCAAACACGGTTGCATTGTTGTTTTAAGCGTGAGACTCTGAAATTTTATTGCATGTTGATTTATTCTATTTTTTTTTAATATATTCTAAATTGTATTTTATTCTATTTAGGAATAAAAAAAAGAATGCATATTATATACCTTCAAATTGCATTTCTTCAGTCTTGCATGCTGTCATATAGTTACTATAATATACATTGCATATAGTCCGACTATAAATAAAATTTACTTACTTACTGTCAGTATTATATTTATGAAAATGATAAAATCCTCGTTTTTTACAAGGTCCGTTGTCATCAAATGGCGCCATTGTAGGCCATTCATTGGTAGAAACAAAACAGAATAAGACGAAACAGGCCGACTCGATGTTAAGTTTCCTAGCAACTATACCGGAACTCTGGTCGGCAATGGATTATGGGTATGATACGCATGTAGGTACAGTTTTAGCAAAATAACAAGCAATTTTTTTTTTTATTTTTAATCTTGGAAATCCCTTTTCGAAGATTAACTTCAAGCTTTGTTTTACTCCATCATTTAATTGAATTTCATTTACAAGTTAAACTTTTTTGCTCGTTACATGTGATAGGTATTGAGAGGATTTCTTCGAATAGAATCTTTCCTACTTAAAAAGTGAATTCCACTTTATTTCTCACTGAAGGTTAAGAAGGAGCTCATACCCGTCAGACATGGGAAACCTAATTCTACTGAAGGTATTACCTTCCTTATTAAACCTCTGGGGATAAAAAGCAATGGGACAATGCGGATACGCAGCACTAATCCTTTCGATCCGCCGGATGTTGATCCTAGGTATCTGGAACATCCAGAGGACGTTATTGGTCTGATCCAAGGTGGCCTACTTTGATTGCAGTTAAATTGATTTTTATCTATTTCCTCGTATATTTATTATACATAGGGATTACATTTACAACTTCTCTTCTACAGGGATAAGGAGTTACTATAAACTTATGAAGACTAAAGCCTTCGCCCGCATACAGGCCAGGCCACCGTACTCACCATTTACCAAGTGTTCGAAACATAAACTGAATTCTGACAATTATTTAGAGTGCTTAGTGCGCCATCTAGCGGTGCCAGGGAGTAATCTGATTGGTGGATGTAAAATGGGGTCTCCGAAGGACAACACGACAGTGGTTGATCACAAGCTAAGGTACGTGCCGTCTGCTCAACTCTTCTGAATGGCTGCTGGTGGTTTTCTTTATTTCTCAGAAACGAAATTTCAAATTGAGCAACAACAGCTTCCTTTTCTCGTTTTAACTTAAACATCTTCATGAAGATATGGGTTTTCTTCAATGGATAAATTACAGTATTTCACTGCTGAAAATGTAATGTGTAATGATAAGTCTAATTATTATACTTGTATGTCATACAACACATATTAAAAAATTTATTCAATTCCTATGCATTATCCAGTGCATTAGGTCGGTATTGAATTCGTATATATATGCACACAGGTGTATGACAAAGTGAAAATCATGCAAAAAATAATCATGGAGTAATACTAAAACTTTGTAAAAATTGAGCTATCATTGACGCGTGATGCATTCCACTTTTTTGCAGAGTGAAGGGGATAGAGCGACTGCGGGTGGTTGATTCTTCTGTGATGCCGACATTAGTGTCGCCCGATCTACTAGCGCCCTCTATAATGATGGCGGAAAAGGCTGCTGACATGATAAGGAGTAGCCATTTATTGAAAAAGAAAGTTTTAAATACAAGAAAAACTAGGTAGCGATGATGGAATTAGGATTTTCGAATGTTATAATTATTTTTTGTACCATGATATATAGTGAAACATTAATTTATACACAGTTATGTACAGAAACTTATGAAGAATAAACGGAACAAACCAGCAATGTCTCTTCTTAAATAATGTACTGTCTTGTTCATGTATATCCATTCATAGGAAAACAAAACAATAACTATTAATATACGTGTAATGTCTAAGTGTATGTTCATGATTTTCGGTGGGTTTTTTTTTCAAACAAATTAAAACAAGTTTTGGACTTTTGCAGAATGTACGCACTGTACTTTAAAGACCAAAAAATAGCAAACGAAATAGATTCTCCGATATACAAACTCGAAGAAAAATGTTTATTATGTTTTTTTAATCGCATATTACGTTGACCTCGATGCAAAATGTAATACACATGTAAATGTATTCTAACCCCTAAAATATCGATAGTTACATTTAAAATAGCTAGGGGCGTGTGGAGGAGGGTCTGGGAGGGGTGCCCCTCCTCTGAGCCAAATTTTTTTTACTTTCATACGCATAAACTGGCACCATTTTGATGGGTTCTGTCATTCTTGAAGTCATCCTTTCAAATGTTAAATAAATAAAAGCTACAGTCCCTGAAACGCTCTACTTTCCCATTTTTCCGTTCGTTCACCGTTCGTTCAGCGTGCGTTCACCGTTCGCTCTCCGTTCACAGTTTTGCGTTCAGCGTTCACCGTGCGCTCGCGTTCACCGTTCACAAAGAGTTCAGCGTTCGCTCTTCGTTCGTTCACTTTGCGTTCACCTTGCGTTCAGCGTTCACTTATCGTTCAGTCTTTATTGTCATTCGGAACCCCGAAGTGAATGGACTTATCTTTTTTTAAGTAAGGATTTACAAATTTAATAATTAACATATATTGTTTAAAGAAAAATTATCTACAATATTTAGTTTTATTATTATTCTAACTTAGCTGTTAGGTTATTTCTTAAATTTATCTGGAAAATAAATGTTTTTATTTTATAAGTACATGTATGTACCTATGTAGAACGATGCTGAAAAATTAAATTTAGATACGGGCAATATACAGATGCTTCAAGCGCTGCAACATTTTGTTGTTATGTTAAAGACGACAAATCGTTAATGGATAGATAATAACCGAAGTCAATTAATTTACCAACTTCAGCAGAAATACGAAAATATTTATTTCCAACACATTTTTTTCCCCACATAATACAGAAATACATGTTAGAACTAATTCTGAGGATTATAAACAGTACTGCAGCTATCCAGTTAATTAAATATCTTTAGAGGGAATTAAATTGATAGTGTGGTTTGAAAAAAAAAATATTTGTTTAAAATGTAATACATTATAGAATTTTTTTCTACTTTACAAATATAAAGTCTTTAATTAGAGAGAGAGACATACCTTTATAACATGATTATCATTAATATAACCAAAGTGATTCTACAGTAATGATATTTTTCACCGTAACTTTATTTGTTTGCCATTAGATATAATTAAGAGCCCCCCCCCCCCCCTTTCCCGTAAATCTGTTACATGTACTTAGTTAGTATTTCCAGTATATTTTAATTAACATTTAAATAGAAGTTAATGTGTTTTGTAGCACAAAAATTTCAATCTCAAAACAAACATGCATCTAAACAAAGTCATTAAACAATAGTAGTTCAAAATATACATGTGCCGGTGTCGCATAATATTTGGTCCGCCTCGTTTAAAGGTCCGGGGGGACCTAATACGATAACATATAAGGTCCGGCCTGCCTCTATAATAAAAGGTCCGCCTTCGGTTTAATATGCAGATTTTTCTCCTTTATTGATTCGAAATTAATTTGCTTAATTAATCTTTTTTAATTATTTAAGGTATAGTTGTTATAAAAGTGTCCCTCCCAGCAAAATGGAGTTCCAGGGACGTACATGTATGTACATTGTATATATACTAACAGAATCAAGTCTTGCGATATCTCGCTAGTTGCTGGATTTCGTAAGTCAATTTTAATTAATTATATTTCTAATACTATGATATATTTCAGTACAAAACCTCAAATTATCTATCAAAAAATTATTCAAAATTTGATGTTAGCACTGATTAACTGTTAGCTCCTCATCGTAGTACATACATGTACCTCCCAGGTACTGCACAAAACAAAAATTATAAAGATGCAAAGATCTGTTGATCGAGTTACCTTATGGGAAAATCATGTACAACTTGTGTCTTTTATAGTTTAAGTGATATCAATATTATCATTGCAAAATAAAAAAAAAAATACATATATATAATACGTATACCTTCACTGGCACATTGTTCAGTATATAGTGTTCGTAAGTCCAATTAACAATGATCATTTCATTACAGTCTCTTTCCTAAAATCGTTCGACTTCCACTTCCAAAAAAGGATTTTCATATCTTTCGAAAGATATTTCATTATATTATTAATAATAATTATGCATAATTCTTACGATTCATATTGTACCTAACTATAAAATAATTGGAGGGTCACTGTGACAGGGACTTGTGTTAAGGGGTACTAGCCTATCCCGTTGTTGTTAAAACAACATGTCTGTGCATTGGGGGTAGGCCTATTGTCTCACTTGACGAAACTTGAAGCCGCATATCCCCCATGTTTTTATAACCACCGTTTCTTATCCAGTTAAAGACTAACGATTATTTCATTCTGCTTGACATTACCCCGGGATTAACACTGGTTAAGGAAGATGTGCATTAATTGGCAAGATCAAACCAAAGTCAATCGAGTTGAACATTTTAAGCAATAAAATAACCCCCCCCCCCCAAAAAAAAAAAAAAAGAAAAGATTATAAATGGTCTTGTTGTATTTTTGGTGGGTGGGGTATAGCAAAATTATGCTGATACATGTCAAATAGTTTAAAAAGTACTGATATTGTAGACTTTCCTCCCGCATTAATATTTTTCCCGGAAAAACGAGCTTGGGTTTAAAGACCCCCCCCCCCCTTTTGGAAAATGAGCCTAGCATAGGATTTATTTCCGGATTTTTTTTTAAATATTGTTCATTTCATTCCCTACGTTTTGTAGTTTTCATTTCTGACATTTTAAAATTTTCATCTCTGACATTTATCACCATAAAGTACTTTTCCGGCAATGAAAACAGAATTGAAATTTCCCTTATAAAAAAAATTAAAGAATAAATCAAGAATAATTCATTGATTTCCAAATAATAAGTTCTGCTTATATTCAAAAGAAGCTTATGATGATTTTATCCTCGGACACATGTAAGTCTTGTGAATTTTTTTTCATCTTTTCAAATCAACATAATCAGATTGAATTGGTTAAGATAGAATTTATGACATAGAGAAACTATGTTTGAGGGAAAGAAGTAATAAAAGTTGAGGGGATTCTGTTTTTCGGTGCTTTCAAACACATATAATTTAGTGGGCATTAAAATTTGGTGATCAAAAATTGCATGTTTTATTATTGAAATTATTGCATTTTATTACTAGACTTTGTATTTTTACTAGACTTAGTGTTGATTGTATTGTAAAATGAAAACAAAAAATGATGGAAATGCAATGCATAATTTCGGAAAATTTTTTAATGACATGCAGCGAGCTTGGAAGAAACAACCCTGGCTTTATTATCCACCATAGGAAATACTCAGTACGCTTCAGTATAGAATTTTCTCCTTTTCCACCTTCTTACTAGGGAGAATCTTATCCACCAATACTATTTACAGAGGGGTTTTACAGAGCAACTTGACATGTATTTCCCCATAAAGTAAAAAAGGAAAGTGTCTGTTGAGATCGTGGCCGATATAAAAATTCATAAAACACCACCAAGTCGTGTTCTTTTGTTAATATTTTTATATTTATTTTGATTTTGGTTTAAATTAGATTTTCTACGACTTTTAGCGGCTATTTCTTCTTTATTTTATTTATGTGTGTGTGATGGGGGGAGGGGGGGGTGTTGTAGTTCTCTTGTTGCACGTCATCAACATTACTAATTAAATAATTATATATATCCTTGGTCCCTTCAGACAGATGTTTATGGATGCATATAGATATACAATACAGTAGACACATGTCATCTCCTGCAAATGTACATAGATGGATAATTAATTTACATTAAAGTTTTGTCTTTTTGTCAGCATAAATGAAAAAAAAGTACACTACTACATGTAGTATATGCAATGCTTATGCACAATTAGGCCATTCCAAGAGTTTTCTAAGTAAATTTAGCGTCCATCCTAAAATTAAAACCCTAATTATCTTTTTACCCTGGAAAAACACACGAACCAGCAAAAAAAGGAACTTACAGCATTTCCATAATTTTTGCTTTGTAACAGTGAGATACATGTATCTGGGAAAAAAGGAAAACAGAGGGCGGACCTTTTATTATACTGCGTTTTAAGGTCCTCCCTGCCATTTTAACGAGTTTTTACGCGACGAAAACTTTTAATAAACCCTATTCAAAATATTCGCCTTGTAATAGTAATAGTTCGCCTTGTAATAGTCTGAAATGCAGAGGGCGGACCTTTTATAATACTGCGTTTTAAGGTCCGCCCTGTCTCTTTCTCTAGTTTGTATGCTACGAAAATAAACCCTGTTCAAAATTTTCGCCATATAATAGTTCCATATCTGAAAAACAGAGGGCTGACCTTTTATTATACTGCGTTTTAAGGTCCGCCCTGTCATTTTGACTAGTTTTTATGTTACGGAAATAAACCCTGTCCAAAATGTTTGCTTTCTAACAGTAAGATATTTGAATTATAGAGGGCGGACCTTTAAATATACTGCGTTTTAAGGTCCGCCCTGTCTCTTTCTTTAGTTTTTATGCTACGAAAATAAACACGGTTCAAAATTTTCGCCTTGTAATAGTAAGATATCTAAAATACAGAGGGCGGACCTTTTATAATACTGCATTTTAAGGTCCGCCCTGTCTCTTTCTCTAGTTTGTATGCTACGAAAATAACCCCTGCTCAAAATTTTCGCCTTGTAATAGTAAGAAATCTGAAGTATAGAGGGCGGACTTTTATTATACTGTGTTTTAAGGTCCGCCCTGCCTCTTTCTCTAAATTTTATGCTACGAAAATAACCCCTGTTTAAAATTTTCGCCTTGTAATAGTAAGATATCTGAAACATAGAGGGCG